CTGCCCCTGTGGATTTCCCAGACGGTAACCCTTTTGGCCTCTTCTTCCTCCCAGTTTGAGAATGATGACACCAGCGAATTTCATCCTGCTATAGTGGATTAAGGTCACATGATGAACGGTAACCGCCCACTGCCATCTAGGATTTATAGAGACCTTCTATAGGATTTCCAAGACTACATCTTTATGGGAGCAGACAGCCTCATCTTTCTCCCCAGTACACGAGTGGGTTTGAGCCTTTGACCAGCCCAGTGCCTAATTCACAGAGCTACCAAGGATCCTTAGGAAACAACCTCCCCCAATAACTCAAAAAACCAAATCCACTGCTATTGAGTTATTGGGACGCAGGGTGGCCCTATATATAAGGTTAAAGTGGCCTATAGCTTTATCTTTCTCCTGCAAAGCAGCTGGTGGGTTTGAACTGCCTGATCTTGAGCTTAGCAGCCCAGTGCGGAACCTACAGTGCTACTACGGCTCTTTAGTACTTGCGCCGAGTTGTACAACCCAGTCCAAAGAAAAGAACCAAAAAAGCATGGACGGTTGACCCTCAAATATGCCCACAAGTTGGGGATTACTGTGTGTAATACAAGGCATATGAGGTAAGGAGAAAAACAAAGTAGAAGCCCCCAAATCAAAAGTCAGTGCTGTTGAATCCATTTAGACTCACAGCGAGGAGAATTGAGGTCCACAGGGTCTCCTTGGTTGAGCTCTTTATGGAAGCAGATTACCAGACTTTATTCTGTGGTACTTACTGCTGAGTATGTTAACAACCACCAACCTGTGAGTTCGTGGTCACCGCTAGGGCCATTGACTCGGTTCAGACTCAGCGATTTGTCTTGTGTTACCCTATGACTTAAAATCAGGGAAAGGGTAACCGTAAAGAGTAGTCCGGAGGGGGGCTATTTTGATAACAGTTGATGAGGAAGGTTTATCCGGGACAGCCTTGAAAAGTGGGAAAGAGCCATGTGACCTTATGGGAAAAGGACCTTCCTGGAGTAGGGAACCCAAAACCAGCCAAATCCCCTGTGGTCAAGTAGATGGGGACTCTGTGACCCTATAGGGCAGACTAGAGCTGCTCTAGGGTCTTGCAGTCTGTCATGTCAGTCTTTGTGAGGCCTATCTTTGTTCTAGACACTGGCTGGTATATTCAAACCACTGATCCTATTTTCCATTAGCTCCCTACACTCAACCCACTGTGCCCCAGGGGCTCTTTGCATAGAGAATAGCAAGTGCAGGAGCCAAGAGGCCTGAAGTGCTTGGCAAATCAGGCACAGCAGGGGAGGCTGGAACTAGGTGGGTGAAGAGGCCCTTCTGTT